GTGAATTTAATCTAAAATGGCCTAGATTCATTTGACCTTTTTTAGCTTAGCACCTGAAGTCAGTGTTGTTTCATGCTTTATTATCATTTAATCACAGTGATTTACTAAATTTAGAATGCTCATTTTAAATTCCTGAATAGATTAAATAACAGTTGACAGACACGACGATCATACGGCACTTAGCCGTGGGGAAAACGCTGTTGGCACTGTGTTTGAGTGGGTCAAACATTTCTCATTTTCTACAGAGTACTCTCGATACCTTCACGCACACCTCGATACTCCGCTTACAGAGTATAATATTGATGTGGATTTGCCTGGAAGCTTCAAAGATCACTGGGCTAAAAATTTGCCCTTTCTCATAGAGGATTATGAAGAGCAACCAGGTCTACAGCCCCATATCAAGTAGGTGATCAAACTGAAGTTCTGTCTTTGGGCCCCCAGTTCACTGCCCTGTACATGCGCCACAACACTTTCACTACATGTTCCTTCAAGTTAACTTTGCTTGAGGTTAATAGTACTGAAAATATTTTTAGCACAGCGAGTTGAAGCTTGCTTAAGGATAGCTTTTCTCCCTCTTGTTTATGTGCTATATGCCATTTGCTATAGCCCCAAACTGAAATCCAAACTATACGTACTCTTTTGTGGAAGCGTGGGACCCTTAGAGACTTGAATTCCTTCAGAACAAGTTTTTTAAAGTGTTATCAATTCACGACTAGTTCCCTCAGAGAAAGGATGTATGCTGTCCTCCGCCATCTCTCCTACCAATAGGAACAATACCTAAAACAGGTGACATGAGGTCGTAGTTTTGTTTTATGATTGGTTTATCAAACCTATTGGTGAAAGTGTATGTATCCACCTTCAGTGTCACAAGTAGGTTCTATTGTGGTCAGAGATTGTTTTATTTTGTCTTTTTCTCCTCAGCACTTGGTACAGAGAGAGTGAGTGAGAGAGAGAGAATGTGTGTGTGTGTGTGTTTGTGTGTTTGTGTGCGCGCACACGTGTGTGGTACAAAAAGTCTCAGTACAGTTTTAAAGCTTTTAAAAACTTAAAACTATACTAAGACTTTTAGGACACCATTCATTTAAAAAAAAAAAGACGCATACAAATATGGCCTCTGATGTCCCTTCCTGCTGCGTACATCTGTGACTCTCTAACTTCCCTCTTTAATTGATTCATTTTTAATTGAATATGGTTAAGTGCGGAGAGGTCAAAGTAGAGATTGTGTTGTTGTACATTTCCTCAGCATAGGCTCAGCTGTAGGCCCGACTTAGTTATTTTCCCAGAGGAGAAAGTGATTGCTCCTTGGGTAGAATCAGATTTCCAAATGGCTGTTGTAAAAGTATTATGCCTTATCGTGTGTGTGTAATGTTTCTTCCAGAGATGTGTTGCCTCAGAATTTTGAGAGCTACAAGCCTGATGTACAGGAGCTGATTTGTGTAGCAGATCGTTTGGGGTCTCTAATGCAATATGAAACACCTGGTTTCCTGCCAAATAAGAGAATACATAGAGGTATGTTGGAAATTGGATCTGAAAATGGAAATGATTTCTACCTGCTTTTGTTGGGGTTGGCGTTTTTAATTTTGTGCCAACTCTTTACAGGATTGCAAGAGGAATGGAGCATTATTTTTTAAATAACAGTTTTATAGTTTAGTAGTCCAGATTATGAGTAATTTATGCATGAAATGTAATACCATCTTGTGCATGTGGAGGAGCTAGTGCTAAGCTTTATTGAATTCCTATACCAGAGAACTTGTACTAAAAGTAGATTATCATATTTGCATTGGATCAGAACTTTGTACAGATATCACCACTAGATTGAGAATGGGAATTGTCAGGGAAGTTGGGGGTAAGAATACTCCAATACTTGTACATTTTGTCTGTTAGCTAGTACCGTTAGTTTGGATTATAGATCTAAATAATTAATACTCCACAGGCGACTGTGCTGAGGCCACTATTGAAAGGAAGAAAAATCTGGCACTCTTGAAGCTTAAGTAACAAGCATAGAAGGGAGAAGGTCACTTTGGACAAACCTCTCATTTCCATTTATGGATTTCAGTAGGGTTAGCATAATGAGATGTTCTTGAGTCTTTTTCTTCTTCTTAAAAATATCTTAGAAACTCTTTTCTTAGTGGGAAAAAATTACAGTAAGTCTGAAAATTAGTTCTTTCCCACTTGAACTAACAATACTTATCTTCTTGAAAATTCTTTGCCCTTTAGCAATGGGTTTGGCTGCTTTAGAAGTCATGCAAGCTGTGCAAAGGACATGGGCCAACTCTAAAGTGCGAATGAATGGAAAAACTCGACTGATGCAGTGGAGAGATATGTTTGATATTGCAGTAAAATGGCGAAGGTAATGATCCAGGGCAGAGCTCTAATTCTCATTTTGAAATGATGCCAGTTGCCATAAACTAAAGAATTGATGAAAACAAGGCATTGAATATCGTTTGGCTTAGTACACACTACTTCAGGCCTGGTCTCCCTGCTCTCCAGAATTATCACAAACCCTGTGTTAATATAGGTTCTGAGACACTACCCCCACTCCCCACTAAAATATATCAAACATTGCTGCTGCCGCTGTCTTAAAGTAATTCTCTCCATGTCTTTGCAAATATTTGCAAATGCAGTTTT